ATGATCCAGTGTTGTGCACCAGTGTTGATTGCTGCAGCCTGATGACTTGCTCTGGACTAGACCTTGCGTGTGTATAGAGATGCTCAAAGTTTTCAAATTGAATAGAAGATTCTTCAGCAAAAGGGGTATGCTTGCCCCCTCAGTCCTGGTTTGATAGGGATGGGCAAATCAGAAACTATCTAAAATGGGACTGTTAAGGCATGAGGCATGAAGTATCTGGCTTACATACTTTCATAAATGTAGTTATTAATAAGGGGACTGTAAGGGGAAAATTAATTCTTTGAATAAAAAGCTTAATGGCTAGAAAAGCCACAGAGTAGTCTTTTCAGTCAAGGGTTCATCTCTCATAATGAATTTCCTAGCCACTGGGTTTGACTCTGCCACATGAATGGACAGGGACATGTGAACAGGTGTTGGTGTGTTCACAAGGGCATTGGCGAGTCTTGACATTGGATTGAGTGGATTTAGCAGCAGAAGTTGGGAAATTTTGCCACCAGCAAAGAAGCAGCAGAGGATGCCAAGCACAAGTCCTTCCAGGCCACAGATTCCTGTGCTGCTCAGACCAGGGCCTACAAGAGAAGCAGCTGCAGCAGAGAATCAGAGACCTGACAGGACAGCCGGCCTTGGGACAGCTCTACCACAGAACCAGAGAACTGACTTGGGACAGCCGGCCTTGGTACTGCACCCCCACAGAACCAGAGACCCCACTTGAGACAGCCGACCTTGGGACTGTGCTCCCACAGAACCAGAGTTAGGAGCCTTCTCCCAAGATTTTTTGAAGACTAGTGAAAGACATTATAAATGACAGGACAAAGAGCTTTGTAACACTGGCCTTAACTGTCCTGCCTGAGTGGTTGCATGCTGCTGCCCACCTGAATTGTCACCTTTTGACTTCCTTAATACCCAATAAATACCATAGTCATGGAGAAAACCCCCCCACACACGAACTGTCCCAAGTACAATGCTATCTGTGATAATATCCACACATATATGAGGAAGGCTTTTAATATGACTTTTACTCAAATTTACACTCTAAACATGAGTGTAAACTCACCCAACGATGGTTACATTGAGGCTTTCTACCTACTTCTTCAGTCTAAAATTGACTGAACACTCATTCAAGATTCATAAATAACTAAATTGCAAAAGCTGGAAACAAAAAGATTGATAGTTGGAAATATGACCTTGGTGATAGGTATGAGGCCAGAGATTGTATGGTAGAAGATTGTACTCTTTGTGGCTTAATCATTGTAGATACCATTTTTTTTTAAAAAAAACCCATGAATTATGGCTATACATATGAATCTAGCCAGATGGAATACACAGCAATCAAACTGACTACATCTGTGCAAAGAGATAGTGGAGAAACGCAATATTATCAGTCAGAAGAAGACCACAGGTCAAGTACAGAACAGATAGCAACTCCTCATGCAAGTTCAAGTTGAAGCTGAAGAAAACGAAAACAAGTGTGAGAGTCAAAGTGCAACCTTGAGTTTGTTCCACTGGCATGAAAATAACATTTTGAAAAAAAATTCACAACACTGCACACTTAACGATTGTAAGGTAGGATCAATAACATGATAACTGAAGAAACCGAAAGGTCATGAAAGAAGCAGGAAGGAAAGAAAAGATCAAGGAGGAGACTCTGAAACTTGCGCTGTAATGTAGAGAAGCTCCAGTGGAAGGAGGAAATGATGAACTCAGAGAGCTGAGAGATGATTTTAAAGGGCAGCTCAGGAAGACAGCTATGTATTTTAATGAAATATACAAAGATCTAGAATTAAAAAACCAAGAGAAGAACATATTGGCATTCCTCAAGCAGTAAGTGCTGAAGAAATATCTGAGCCTTGATTTCTAACATTGACAACTTTGTGGGTAAAATATTAAGTGATGCAGGAAGCATCAAAAGAAGATGGGATTAGGCACAGAATATGTAGAACTTTAAAAGGGGAAAGGGAAGGAGTGAAGTGAGTGAGCAGAAGGTGGAAGGGAAGCCAGGACAGCAGTGGGCACATGGAGGATGAAGGAATGAGCAAGGTGCAGTGGGGATTGGATGAAGCCAGGATGATATAAGACATTGATCAATAGTAATTAATTGCATAGAACCCCATGTACATGAATGAAATGCAATGCATATGAATGATTGTAATAAAACCAATTAAAAATAAAAGGATGGAAGGAATATACAGTCACTGTAACAAAAAGCACTGATTGACATTCAACCATCTCAGGAGGTAGCAGAAGTACTGTTGGCAGAAGAAGTCCAAGATCAACTAAAGCACTGACAAAAAACAAGACTTCAAGAGTTGGTGGACCAGAAATTGATAGAATATCCACAAGTAGATGCTAGGGGCTCTCACTTGTCTATATGAAGAAATTTAGGAGACAGCTACATCCCCAGCTCCCTGGAAGAGATCCATATTTGGGCCCATTCCACATCACAGATTCTGCTTTTAGGTACGGCTGATGTGTTTCTCTCTCTGTGTCTGTCTGTCTCTGACTCTCTCTCTCTGTCTCTCTCATTTCCCTTCCCTTTCCCTCTCTTGTCCATAGACCCTTCCTACAGAAGCAAAGCCTCTTTTTAAAGGACAATCTCTGGCAGGGATACAGTTTCAAGTAAGCATGGAAAGCATGGATTTATATGTGCTTATTTACTAAAAAGTACAGAAGAGTTTCATCACATCAAAGATGTAGCACAGTTCACCTTTGCAGGAACATGGAAATAGCCCAAACTGGACAGCCAACAATCCAACTGCAGCTGAATGAATTGAGAAATTGTGGTACATTCGCACAATGGAATACTATGCAGCACTCAGGAACAAGGATTTAAAAAAAAATACTGCATAACTCGGGGGAGGCTGGAGAGCAGTATGCTGAGTGAACTCAGTCTCATAAGGACAAATACTACATAAGACCATTGCTGTAAAAACAGAAGGATAACTAGTAAAACATGTCTGGGGGCCCAAGGGAGGAAGAGGTAGGAGCAGAAGGGTGTGGATGGGTAGGGGTGAAATCACAGGTTGCACAATTTGGTGGGTAAAAGGGAGGGGGTAAAGGAAATGGGAAAGATCTGGTGGGGATCTGAAAAGACAGGGTAATGGTGGGAATAGTTCAACGATGATTAATTTTATGAAACATAATGCATGGGAATGATTGTACGAAATGCCGTATGAATAAGAATAGTGTGAAAAACAATGTACATGAACTTTGTAAGCAAAATAATACAAAATAAAAATTTTAAAAAAGGATGTAGAACAGTTCTACTTTGACACTCATAAAGTCTTCACGGGACATGTCTTAACAACTTTTCTTTCTTTTTTTAAATTGGGAAGTTAGCTTGTCTTCCAAGAAAGCAAGAGGACACAGTGAATGAAACCTTCCTATCAGTTAGTTCGTCAGGGAAAGTCTGGCCAGTTCTGACATCAGTGGGCAGGGATAGATAACCTCCCCCTTGGGAAAGGGGGATATTGCCTACAAGAATAGAATTGGTTACAGCGAGCTTTAAAAGATATCCTGGATTGTTGCTATTCTTGCTGTTGTGAATAGCACTGCTATGTAAATAGGTGTACATATCTCTTTTCATATCTCAGTATGGAAGTAACCCAAATGCCCCTCAGCAAATGAATGCATTGAGACATTGCAATACATTCACACAATGAAATATTATGCAGCACTAAGGAATAAGGATTTTTGTGAAATACTATATAACAAGGGAGAGTCTAGAGAGCATTACACTGAGTGAACTAACTCCAATCTCATAAGGACAAATATTACATAAAACTATTATTGGAAAAATAGAAAGGTAACTAGTAAGATGTGTATAAATGTCCAAGAGGGGAAAGGGAAAAGAAAGGGTGAAGGGGATAGTGAAAGGGGAAGGGTGGAAATCATTAGGATCACGGGGTTTAATGGGTGGATTGGGGGTGGAGGTTGTGAAGGAATAGCAAAGAGTCAATGGGACTTGAAAAGATGGGGTAGTAATAGGCATAGATTAATATTAATTATATAAAGTATATATAAATGTACATAGTACAAGGTGCGCCTGATACAGGCCATGGTCTTTGCAATCACTTGTTATGCATCAGAGAGTTGGACAATGACCAAAGAGGATAGAAGGAGAATTGATGCCTTTGAGCTGTGGTGCTGGAGAAGAGTTTTGAATGTACTATGGACTGCCTGGAGAGGGTTAAACCAGGCTACTCCTTGGAGGCAAGGATTCTGGGGCTTCGTCTGACATACTTTGGACATGTTGTAAGGAGAGACAGGTCCTTGGAGAGGGACATCATGCTTGGTAGGGTGGAGGGACAGTGCAGGAGAGGAAGACCCTCTATGAGGTGGATTGATTCAGTGACTGGGGTAATCGAGATGGGTGTGTCAGAGGCAATGCAATTGGCACAGGATAGAGCAGCATTTAGGGCTGTTGTACATAGGGTCGCTATGAGTCACAAGCGACTCGACGTCACATAACAACAACAACAACAACATATATGAATGAAACACTATAAATGTAAGATTGTATGAAACAGTGTACTTTAATAAAACACAATGTAAATGAATTGTTGTATGAAAATTAAAAAAAAATTAAAAATCCCCATATCCTGGAGGCTCAGAAGGAGAGAGAGGCCATTGTCTTTATGTTGTGGTTTTGCACAGAGCTACCTAGAGCTAGGATAAGATGTAGTGACCTTTAAAAACACCTTTTAGATCTGTGGTGGTTGTGTGCTGTAGAGTCGGAATCAATCCATAGCTGATCCTTTAGCAGGTTTTTAGAGGTGGTAAATTGCACAGAAAAAGCCCGTCTTTCCCCAGGGCATCAAGCTTTGTGGTGTTAGTCCTTGTTGTCTGTCAGCCATATTTCTTGATTTTAGTGGGATATTTGATAAAATGGACTGCCTTTTCCAGAGTGTGCTATCCAATCCTCCGTGAACTTTGGGATATTAGTAAATGTATATTCTTGTCATCCATCCTTACATTGATGCATTTGTGTCTGTTCTTCCCAGCTGTCTTCTGGGGAGACATTGCTTTAGATGAAGACGACCTGAAGTTATTTCACATCGACAAGGCCAGAGATTGGGCCAAGCAGCCAATGGAGAAAACGTATCACAACACAGGTTAGTAATGCTCCTCCTCTCCTCACTCAGTCATTGCACAGACTTCCATTGTGTGGGTGCACTCAAGTTTCTTCATTCTGTTCACAGACATTTGGGAAATGTCCGGGTGTTGGCTATTATCAGTAAAGTTGATATAGACGTTCTTGTGCTTCTATCTTTTGGTGGATACAGCACTTGTAGATATAGTATCCAGAAGTAGGATTGATTAGTTGGTCACAGATAGGTGTAAGTTTAGCTTTTGGAGATATTATCAAATGGCTTTTCAAAATGACACACTCTGTGTGTCAGTTTTGATTTGTGAAGCAGGCGCAATGTCCATGCCATATCCACCGAGACCTTTTGGGTCTTGGTGTTCCTGGCTTGGAGACCTCACTCGTGCTGTCTGGACCTGCACATCATCTACTGTTTGTGTGCTCAGGATTGTCCCTTTGTGCTGTCCATGGGGGTTATGCCATTGCACATCTAGGGGGGCCTAGGGTTGCCAGATGCAAGTAAGAGATGCCAGAGAGAGGCTGGACAGTGGTTAGCCACCATACAGCTGCGTGCCCAGCTACTGGAGATGCCAACTGCCTGCTGAAAAGTTTACATAGGATACTGAAGTGAAGAGAAGCCAGAATAGCGTTTCTTTTGTCTCTGTCAAGTTCTTAGACCATGGTCAGCCTTGTGACCTCAGAACTTGAGCTGATAGAGGGCAGCGCCTGCATCACAGTCAGTTATGGATGTTGCAGAGGTAGACGAACACCTTTAGTTAGGAGGCACTAGCCAACAGTGACGGAGGAGAAAGAAGGAAGCGGTAGCCAGAGAGGCTGGTGAGAAGACCCTGGTACTATCTTTCAGGAACCTAAGAAGAGATTAAGAGCTTCCACAAGGCCTTGCTTCCGAAGAGTGGTTATAGTACTGGTTATAGTCATAGACTTTGGGGTCAGCTTGCCTGTACTTGAAAGTATTTATGTTTCAGAAACTCTGGCCCTAGCTTCCTCATCCATGAGACAGGGATAGTAATAACCTGCCCTCAGAGAAAGGTGGTGACGACAAAAAGAGAGAACATGTGTAAAGCGCTTAGCACAGTACCCAGCACAAAATAAATGCTCAATAAATGTATACTCTGTCCCGTTTCCTTGTTTTTACCTCTTCTTTTCTGCTTTCTCCTCATTATTATTATTAGTATTTTCAGAGAGAACATCATCTGAGGAGGACTGAAGGTTGAAATGGGAAGTGGGAGACATTTGCTGTGCACTGGAGAGAATGTTGGGCATGGTGCCTTTGAAAACATGGTATTTCCTTCTAAGAAGGAGCCTTTGAATTGTGGTGTTGGCAAAGAACATTGAACTGTTAACCCAAGGACTTCTGAAGGAACAACTAAACCTGTCTTGAAGAAGTGCAGCCGGAATTCTTCGAATTGAGGCTGTTGAGACTTTGTCTCTCAGGCTTTGGGCATGTATCGGAGGGGCCAGTCCCTGGAGAAACACCTTGCCTGGCAAAATAGAGGGGCAGTGAAAAAGACCACCACCAATGAAACGGGTTCCACAGTGGACGTCACAGTGGGGCAGGGTTGGGCGATGTCTTGTCCTTTGCGTGTAGGGTCACCAGCAGTTGGAATTGATTTGACAATGCCTAATAAAGAATATGTTCTGTGTGTGTGTGTGTGTGTGTGTGTGTGTGTGTGTGTGTGTGTGTGTGTGTTTTCCAGTTTATTTTTATAGCAAGGTGATTTTTATCCTGAAGGCCTCTCTCTGAGGGCCAATTGTACTTTGCATCTATCTAGAATAGCTGTTTTATTTTCAGCCCGGGAATATTTTTTATTGTTCTTGCTGATTAAACTGATACTGCTGGCTGTTTAAAAAAAAAAAGTCCAGTAGCTCAAAATGTATAAAGTAGAAAGTGAAAATCCCTTGTTATCCTAAACCCGGAGAACTTCATCATTTATTTGTTTGCCAGATTTCTTCCAGCCTTAGTGTGCTCGCGTGTGTGCACTTGCAGACTTCAAAACTATAAAAGAGATTTTATTTGACATTGTCTTAGGCAGCTTGTGTTTTTCGCTTAACACCACAGCACGGGCATCTTTTCACGCCAGGCATTGTGGCTCATCTTTGTCTTTTGTAGCTGTAGTGGTGCAGTGTGCTGCCAGGCCACATTTATTTAGCTATGGCTTGTGAATGTGTCCAGACGGTGCACGGGTTAAGTATTCAGTGCTAGCCAAAAGATGGGTGGTTTGAGCCCACCAGCTCTTCCTTGGGAGAACAAGGCTGTGGTCTCTTCCAAAAAGCTTCTAGCCTTGGAAACTCTGTGGGTCAGAGTTATTGTCTCTTGTATCTCTTAATAGTGTTGCTTCTGGTTGGAATCTAAGGGATGACAGTGGATTTGGCTTTGGTTTTATTTCCTTATAGAGGAACATGAAGAGTGTTTTCCTTTTTTAAAGACTTTTTTTTCAGTTTTACTAGAAACAGCAACTTTGTGGATAGATCTTGAAACATTTGATCTGTTTAAACATTTGGAGTCAACGATTCTGAAGCTTGTCTGACATACTTTGGGCATGTTGCAAGGAGGAACTGGTCCTTGGAGAGGGACATCATGTTTGGGAGAGTGGGGGGACGGCACAAGAGAGGAAGACCCTCAATGAGATGGATTGATTCTGTGAGTGGAGTGGTGGGAATGAGTGTGTTTGAGACGGCGAGGTTGGCACAGGATAGAACGGCGTTTAGGGCTCTTGTACACAGTGTCGCTATGAGTGGCAAGCGACTCAATGGCACATAACAACAACAACAAATAATTTACTGTGGTAAAATACTTTTTTTAAATTGCCCATTTTAACCCTGCTTGTCAGTTTATTCCTCTATAAGTTCACTGTAGTTAATTATAGAAGGATGGGTGGTCTCCTCCTGTGTGATTAACCTCCTCGGAAAACCTCCCAGAGGGTCAGCTGTGGGTTGGTTCCAACTCAGCAGTATACAGCAACAGCAACAAATATAGAAAATGAAACATTTGCCTTTTCAAATGTTTTTAAGTTTTACACTTCAGTGACACTGATTATATTCACCATCTGGTGTAATATCACCCATATCAATTTCTAGAAGTATTTTTATCATCCCAGAAAGAAACTCTGATGGCCTAGTTGGTAGGGAGTTTCACTTCCAGCTCAAAAGTGGGCAGTTCAAATCCATCAGATGTTCCAAAGGAGAAGCTGGGCAGACTCTTATCATGTGATTTACAGCCTCTGAAAACCCACCGGAGGGCCAGCAATGAGTTGGTTCTAACCTGATGGCGGTGAGAGAGAGAGACCCTTGTGAAGCAGTGATGGCCCGTTTCTCCCTTCCCTCCTCCTGGTCATCATCAACCTAGTTTTGTTTCTGTGGTCGATTTATACAAGTGGGATTGAATATCTGTCCTTTGATGTCTAACATATTTCACTCAGAAAACTGTTTTCAGTGTTCACCCAGATTGTAGCATGTTTCTTTTTATGACTGTTGTATGGATGGATCACATTTTGCTTATCTATTTATCCAAGGATGGACTTGATTTGTCTCCATCTTATGGTTATTGTCAGTAATGCTGAAATAAATTGTGGTATATATGTGTTTCTTTGAAGTTCTTGCTTTCAATTTGAGGAGTGGCTTTTCTTGCAGCTCTCTTTAACTTTTTGTGGTGTTGCCAAACTCATCTCCATAGTGGCTGCCACAGTTTTACCATCCCGCTGACAAAGCCCAAAGGTTTAGTTTGTTTTTAATAAATTCCAAAAGAACCACATCTTCAGCCCCCTCTTCCTACTTCCTAATGTGTAAGGTATTTTTCGATACCAGTTGTCTTTATTTCTAAGCTTTGGTGAGTGCTGCTGGAGGGGAGTGGGCTGAATTCTGTGCTGGTGGCGGCAGTGTATGGATTGGAGCTTCTGAAGGCCCAGAAACCTGAAGTGTAGCCCTGGAGACCTCTTACCTTGGCCTGTCCTGTGAACTTGTGATTACTTTCTTGGTACTAGAATGAATCTATGTCAGTTGTCCTAGAGGTGAGTTAGTTGGCTTCATTTCCTGTTCAGTTAGTAGAAGAAGCCTCAGGCTTCTCAATTCCTGTCCCTTTGTGGCCACCACTGCACCGCCCTACCTGTTTGTATCACCAGGTAGAAGGAATATGGAACAGAGGTGCTTTGGGTCTTGGGACTTGGTCCCAGGCTTCTTTCCTTAGACAGTCATGAGCTTGATCTTCCCATACTGGAGTCTTCTTTGGCCAAAGGATGAGCAAATGGCCTTGTGTTTAGGTTGAGTGGAGCCCACCCAGTGTACTATCCTGGCCACAAAGAAACAATTGGGTTTTGGACATGCAGCAGAGAACACTGTTACTGTTCACACAAAGACCACAGGCTTGTCTTGTACAGGTTAGATCCTGTTAGTTCCCCTGCCTTTAGTCTTTCTTTTTCCCATTTTTTAAATAGTTATTTTATATTAGTTTGCTTGGAAGCAGGGAGTGGCATCCAGTTCCTAAACAACATGCCTCTGGAAACATTTGATAAATGATGATAGTTATAGAAAGGCTTCAGGCCTTTTGTTTATACAGTCGTTAAGAGTCGTACTCGATTTGATGGCATTAAACAACAACACAACAATGCTAGTTTGCATAAAAAATTCACATACATGGTGTTTTATTACATACATTGTGTTTCACATATTCCTTCATTTACACTGTGTTCATACGCTCATTCCATACATTGTTGCTGTTTGTTATTATATACTGTCGAGTCGCTTGCAACTCTTAGTGACTCTGTGTACATCAGCTCTGAACCCTGCTCTATCCTGTACCTATCAACACCCATCCCCATTACCCCAGTCACCGAATTAATTCATCTTATTAAGGGTCTTCCTCTTTTGTGTTGTCCCTCCATCCTCCCAAGCATGACGCCCCTCTCCAAGAACTGGTCCCCCCTTGCAACATGTCTGGAGTATGTCAGACGAAGCTTCAGAATCCTTGCTTCTAAGGAGCAGCCTGGTTTCACCCATACATTATGTTTTATA